GTAAAAACAGGTGGTGCGATGCAAAAAATGGAAGATTACAAAATAACATTACTCCTACTCAATAGCCTTCCCAGTAAACCTGATTTTTTCTGTACTATTAATAAAAAACGTTTTCTTAATTTCAATCTATATATTCTTAATCATTGATATTAATAATCATAATAATATTTTGAATGTTTTGTCCGCATACTAACTTGATATAAACGTGGAAGTGTGTCCACTCAATGGAAACTGAAAACCCGTTATCTCAAAGGGAACAAGTGATATATACATACATATTTAAACATAAATCTAATTTACATTAGAACTTTTACATAAAATCAAGAAGCAAAATAGATTTAACAAAAACATATGAAAATAAATCGTATTTGCATTGGGTATCTAAAATAACGGAATTGTATTTTGAAAAATGAAGTTTTTATTTACTTTATGTTAAAGTTAACTAAAATGAAGTTAGCTTTAATATAAAGTAAATAAATTATCATTTAATTATGCTATAATTAAACTTTATGAGATATGTAACCATTAACTAAGAAACACTAATGACTTGCATCATACCAATAAATATATTGTGTACAACTTTTAGTATAAGACAAATTTATTCAAATTCTTAGAATTTAAACTCGATGAATATTTTTATGGAACACCACAACCATTAAATACAATTTGTCTCAATAATAAGAAATATTCTCAACTAGTTTTCACATGTGTCATTATCGTCACCATTAATTGAATCACTTACATAAACTTGTTTTTCTTTACCTGCGATCAGTCGCTGAATTGTGTAACCCGTTTGTTTCCAACGACTTTAATAGCCGATTATGAGGGTACACAGTATATAACCGGAAATAGTTATCTTTTTCCGGACAAACATTTTAGGAAGCTTGTTACCTCATTTTTTCAATATCTGCTTAATAGAGTTGAAAATGGTATTCTGATCGCAATAGTGATTTTGAGCAAAGGATATTGCTAAAAAAAAAATTATCATTATTACTAATAATAGTATCATGAACACTCCTGAAACCTCTCCCATAATTATTTCAGTATTTGATAGTCTTATCAAAAACATCACTACAAAATATCACATATAATCGCAGGAATATTATTACGTTTTCGTACAGAAATTGATTAGACACGCTGTCAGTTAGCGGCAACCAGTCAGCACTGTCTCATTTTTATCGATCCCATCGCGGCCATCGACGCGTATATTGACTATAGTCATAAAGGCGTTCCTATGTAAGCTTCTAATTGAAAACCGCACTTCTTTGAGCCTCTAGTCTTTCAAGATCAATCATGTACTAACACAAAAGTGTTGCATTTTGTAATATACACTGAAAAAATACAACGAACCAAAGAACGTTGAGAATTTTTTTAAATTACTCACTAAATTGTACTGATGCACAAAAGTATCGACCATAACACAATAGTAATTATTATCTCACGTATCACTATATTAAAAGTAATTGGCGTGGATATTTTTCGTTATATTATACTAAATGCGCCGGCTCTAATCGATTCCCATTTACTATAATTTATACGTATAAATTACGATTGATCACATATGAAAAAAAAAAGTATATATATATATGTTACTCTTGGATTTTACTATCGTGTATTATAATACTTGCTGTATTGTGTAAACAAGTATTTTTGCACACAATATGCCTTAAATAGTCTTATACATATTAATTAAATGCATTAGTTTAAGCATTGTCCTTGCAAAATCAATAGAAAAAACGTCGTTCAATACATGTGTATATAATTTATTATTAGTTAATTGAATGAAATAAGTAAATTAAGATACTAACAGAATCTATAGTAAGTATATACTCTTGATGTGAACACGGATTGTATTAAGGACATGGTTGAATTACAATTTTTCCTAGTGTTATGTTAGCGACATAGTTTCAGCATGGGAATAAAAGAGCAACCGAAAACAATGTGCTTTTTCAAGGATTCAGTTGCAATTATAACTTACTGCTATTAATTCTTGAAAAAAACAAAATTGAACATCAAACACACTTTTATTATTCTTAATGAACACTGTTTTTTTATATCTCGCCTTCTTTTGCTAACTTTTTAATCATATTTTCGCAATTTCAACATAAATTAACGTTAATTGAACATTAAATTGCATAATATTACACTCGTAAAACTATCGAGAACTAAAATTCAAATGACAAGGTTTACATGAAAATTATACGACAAATGAGTACAGTTTTTTTTATAAATTCGAAATATGAGTCACTCATAACTGAAAAAAGTTAAAAATAAATATATTTTATTGTGAAATCGCACGCGACATTTCAAACAGCTTTGTCACCTAACACCTACGACAGAATGGCATTTTAATAAATGTTTTCATAATTTGATTAAATTGATGATTCTTATATATTATCTTAAATTTGTCGTACCACTTTTGAAAAACATTAAGTTTTTCATAGTTAATTATTCAAACATAAAAGTAATAAGAATTATAATAAATTATGTAAATTTTTTAGTTATGTGCTAGATTTGTTTGCATATATAAAAGTGATTTTGCTTAAAAAAAATTTAAATGATAAGCAATTTAAAAGTTCGATACTCGACAGTTAACATTAAGCGTCATAAATCGATTATTTAAAATTTTTTCAACCAATTAATTTATGGTCTAAACCGTAATTCGGAAAACGAATGCAGTAACAGTATTATTAGCTAACGAATACGAAAGATGACATAAATTAATTTAGAATGGACTTGAAAAACTTAGTAAATAATTATTTACTTAGTTTTTCACTAATTATAATTAGTGTAATAGGTACAGTTCTAGAGCATATACTAATTTTGTGTAACTTTGTTTATTTGGTAAAGTACGAAGGGCAAAAAAACTCATGTCGGCTTCTCACAACATTCTGATGAGCAAAAATAAAACACTGTCACCGGGTGTATAATTTTTTACCTGATAATATGGTCAATGTCATAAAATTACTTAATGCCGGTCAAATTCTGAGAAATAATATGCAAAACAATACGAGGTCCGCTGTTAAAACATCCGAATGGAAATGGGTTGCCATTAAATATTTTTAAAACACTATTAAAAAATAATCGTTTGAGTTACTAGTGCGCTTTAAGAGATTATTCCGCTCAATGTGTGAAGAAACGGTGAATATTATCGACCAGATGAAAAAATTCCTGATGGTTATCTGAGTGTACAAAAACTAGTGACAGTAAATAATGCAGTTAAAATTAAAGATAACTTTTAACTCACAACTAAGCATTTCGTTATGTAAAGAACAGAATAACAGTTGTATGTGTTTGCATTTGATTTTATAAAATAGGCGCAGCGGGAATAAAATTCCTTTACACATTATTAGTTTTAAAAATTATTTTTGAATTATAACTTATGAAAAAATCTTTAATCGAATCGAAAAAATGCGTGGCTATTTCATATATGACTTGCAATTATTAAAAAATTCATTAGTTATATTTGTCAATTTTTTAGACAAATGATACACGTAATGCAATTTTAAATCGTTACATTACATTTATTCATATGGTTTATTAAATATACTTGTATTTAATTAGATGATATAAATTATCAAAAATGTGAACTAATTACCTTTAGTACATCTGTAGTTTATACCATATAGGTATTTGAATAATGTTACTGTCGTTTAATGATCAAAAGTGAATTAGCATTACAGACATGACTTGTTCGACATCTGCATCATTTAAATTCTTTTGTTAATATTCTTATTAATATGTTATTACAAAATGATTTGGTTTGACACTTGCATAGGGTCAAGATGATACCTAATAATAATAATAAATCACTTACACATATCCCAACTCGATACATACCATTAAACCTGACAAAGATAAACACTCAATTGAGTGTGTAATAAAACTCTAAAATTCGATTATATTTTTTTATCGTATTGTATTTTATTTGTATTATAACATTATGCGGCAGGAAAATCAAATTGTTCTATTTCATGTGTAGAATGAGAGATAGAACCTTTTGGTTTTTATATCGCGAATAATTATCAAATGGTTAATTAAAAATCTAATCTATTGCTAAGGTGAGTATTTAGATTACTGGTCTTGAACAATTTGTTATAATTAATTATCATATAATTGTATTAAAACGAAATGATAGAGTTTATAATCTAATTTAGTTTTGAGTCCTGGAAGGTTGTTTTATGAGCTGAGAATAGTAACGTCAATTTAAATCGGTTGTTATTGCACTCTGGTAAGTTAACCTTTACCTATTTCAAATAGTTCACACGATATGATTAAAAAATTATACGTGTTTTTAGTTTAATTATTAAGTAGTCCGATATTTCGTCCTCGAGTGTGCGCTCAAGTATAATATTAAATCCAGTGTAGAATTGATCATATGTTTTTTACATGCGAGATCAGTATTAATACAGAAGATAGATGGATTTTAGAGGGGGAAGTTGACTCGCGAGTACATGGAATTGCATATCAAGTGTTACTTTTATTAATCCGAGAGAGAATGATCAAATTTTTATTGCAATACCTTAGATTTAATCAAAAACAGTGTTTCAGATTAATGAGATACTTGATACAGTAACACGATACTCGATATGAACACTGATTTGTATTTAACGATAAAACAGAAGTGTTTATTATTTCAAATAAATAAATCGAAATCAATAAGTAAAATTTCCATTAAAACGTCTGCCTCGATATATGTCAAATAATAGAAAATTATGGTTAACGGTTTATTTAATTGATGCAAATGAAAAAAAACATTCACGTTGAGTTGTATTAATTTCAACATTTCAGTTTAGACAATTATGCACAGCGCAGTGCAAATGTCGATTTTCAAAGGAAAAATTCAATAACGAAAAACCGTTGTAAAAAATAAAAACAACTTGAGAAAGCCCATCTGTTGGGTTCCAGTGGTTGCGTCCGGTGGACACATGACGTCACGGCAACAGGAGGGCATCAACACGCGAAGGTGGTATAGGTATACGGAGCGGCCACCTCTGTCTGTCCGTCTGCCAGCGGGTTCTTTTCAGTCTTGCACGACAACCCGCGAGTTCCACAGCACGTCGAACGCAGTGGACGCCGGTCTTAAAAAATATAATTCGATATAATATTTACTAACGAGTTTTTTTTTTTATTCGACTCATATTACTAACACTAAACAAAATATAAAAAAAACATCAATTAAACAAAAATATTAACAAACTGTTTTTTTTAAACAAAAAAAAAAAAAAAATTTTTTTCGGACTTTTGAGTTTGTTTCGATATAACGAGTGATAAATTTTCCTTGAATTTTTAATATTTGTATTTGTTCGTGTATTCCGAGTGTTATTATGGATGTGTACACGTGAAAAGTAATGCCAAACTACAGTGAGTACCAAAAGGTTTTTCTACTAATTTTAACGGTCACTTTTTCCCCAAAAATGTCCATAATAATGTCACTATGGACTTTCATTTGGCCAGTTATCACGTCGTTCGTTAGCACCAGCTCGGCGCGAGTCAATATTTTCTCATGGCGTGTTTGTTTTAACGCGGTAACGTCGGAGCTATTACTTCGCACAATATTTTTGTGTATTTTTACATACAGTTGTCGACTTTCTAAATCGTAAGCTAATCCAAACACAGTTCGAAAGTGATGTATTGCGCCACATCATAGACCGAGTTGACAAGTTTACCTACACGTTGTCATTAAAATAAGCGTCTGAACGTGTAAAATATTTATTTTCATTTCTATGGAAGCGCATCCAGCGTGTGTGTCTCCTCCGCAGGCTTCCGAATCGCCGCCTTCTTCGTCGACCGACGTGCCGAGTGAATGATGAACGATTTCGGAGGGAAACTTTTTTACGAATCGAACCGAGAACGACTGTTAAAAAACATCAACTCGGTCACGGTTCAGTAAATGCGTCGCAGCCCCAGTAAAAAAAAAAAAAAAAAACGTGACCGTATTGGAGCGACTGCTGTTGGCCGCGGGTCTTGTCAAACGCACGAAAACAATTAAGTAATTTATACGCATTCGAACCTTCACATAATATAAACATTTCGAGTGACTTACAGGTACCAGCGTCGCTTGTTTTTTTACGGACCGCGGGGTACACGAGGGAAACCGCGAAGGTTTCTGCCCCCGCGTTATCCGATAACTCATAAACACATTATTTCCATCTGCCATTACGATTAAGCACTAGCCGATCAAACACCGACACAGACGCATATTTTTTTACAAATTCGTCGTGTAACCTCGAGGACTTGCAATATTATTCTCGGTTCTGTACTATGAGTAATAATTTATTTGTGAATTTTACTAATTAGTCTGAGAAAACCGTTATATCACGCAACAGGCACCGTGGGATGGAAAATTAAATCTTTCTTAGGCAACTCGGTGAATATCGTTTACAAAACGAATAAATTAATAGCAATTTTTCAGCTATTTTCATTGGATCAACCGGTTATGTAACGAAATGTTAAATTAGACCAAATATTTAGTGATTAAAATTTTGAATTGTATTTGGAGATGTAAAAATAAAACCAGCAAATCGACCTTATCGTTTTCTCGGTATGAGTTGCTTTTTGAGTTTTGTTTACAAAATACAACGTGAATACTTTGAGTCAAATCGCTTCCGTTGTAAACGGCAGTACAGTCAACAGGTGTTAACAAACAGGTCCCGTGACGAGCCACAAAACAAACGATTACACCGTGTGGGACCCTCGTTTCCAGTGCAGTAACAATCGGCCGGTATTAAACATACTTGTGTGTTTTATTGAAAAACATTTAATAATAAACCGTAAAAGTAATCAGACGTATAATTCGAATGATGAAGCGTTACAGGGCGCTAAAGGTAAAATATCTTTGTAAAAAATATTAACGCCTTAAAAAAAAAAAAAACGTTTACGGAAATTCACGGTTCATTAAATTCGGTAGCACGCCGAGCTTCTTCGTGTTAAAACGTTAAATCAATAATTTTCGTACTTCAAAACGGCCGAGAAAAATATTGCAAACACATTACCGGAGTACATTACTGTCAAATGTTTTTTACACGTTATTAGCGTTGTACGGGCATAAAATATTTCGCAATATATATTTGTACAGGATGTGAAAAAAAACTGACCCGAGGTCGAGACTTAGGTAGTCGGCCGTTTGTCACATCGCCGCGGTAGCCAAACGCCGCTCTGTCGGCTACCGAAACGCCCTTTGAAACTGTTTATGACACTTGACTTTGTACTCGGTTTTCAATAATTGAATAAGATATCTGGGCATCGAAGAAACAATAACATGAAAACACACGTATTAATATCCACGGGCTACTGACGACGTCTGCCGGTAAAATTATACATAACATTTAATCATGATCTTATCTCGTTAATCAACACCCACGTGCAACGTTATTATAATTAGAGATGTTTTTTACCAATTCCGCTGCGCCCGTCTTATTTGTACGAACTGTGAATGATTTTCATTACGAACCTGGTGATAGGTTGCCGCGCAAGTGTCTAATTATCAACAAATCACTTTGTGCATTAGATAAAACTCGCATTGATAATAATAGGTTTCAATCGATATCGTTGTTCCCCTCCACCCGATGTGTTCGTCTGTAACATCTGATATCTTTCATTGAGACAAATAACTGATCCCGTCGTATTAATTTAACCCAAACGAGCGCCAACGGAAAAACATCAATCCGTTGACATGATCTTCACTTTTTTTCTCCATAATCCGAGTAAACGTCGAGTACACCACATCGTCATGCAGTTGTGCTTAGTCATTACACATACTCTAGACACACACGTATGACACTGTTCTAAATTACCGACATGAACACACTCAAGTGCTTAATGCTCGTTAGTAGTTTGACGGCAATACGAGATCCAATAACGTATACCGTATTGTTCGAGAAACAAAACAATATCACATTGTACGGCACGAGACAATAAAATGCTGTTTTCAAAATTATCCACTACATTTCTGATGTTTTCATAAAATTTCCATTTCATTTCTAGCCTCGTTTAGACCGCTGTATCGTGTCTAGCGGTCCTTTGTGTTCGGCCTATTACGATTTACATACACAAACAAGAATCTTCTGACCGAACGCCTAATACCAGTGCCGCGTTAATGTTACACTATATTATTAGTGTACGATTAGAATAGGCATTATTACGATAAAACTCTAAAAAAATGCATACGGGCTTTTTGTTCGGTCGCTTTTCCGTGGGACGGAGTAGGGGTACACCTAGTAGGCGGTGGGACGTCCAACAGAAATTGAACTTGGACGGCGAAAAACGTAAACCGACGTCGATTAGTTTTGCGCCAAGGACGTTTCCAGGCGTAGAGTCGGCACTATTTGACGCAAAGGGCACGGGGACGAAATAATAGTATCGAGCGTTTTTTTTAGCCCATTTGCCCTGACACCGCGGACGTCTGCGGCTGATATTTGCGTAGTCACGGCGCCCCGTTACACATTATACGCTCGCACGCGTTACGGCTATCGCGGTTTGCATATACCGCAACACGTTCACTCACGAGCCGGCGGCCGCACAAGTGCAACGAAATGATCAAACGTAGTCGTTATAAAACCAATGCGACAACGATAATATTGTCGTCGTTTCTTCCGCACACAACGCGCGGCCAATTTCTAATGTCATTAATAATTGTGTTACACTTGCTCTCGTGTGTAATCAATCAACGGTGAAAATGTTGTAATAATTATTCTCGTTCTTTGTTTTTTTTATTCGTATTGTATTTTCTGAATGTAACAATAATTTCAATTGTCCGGTTTCCTTTAAGGGTTACAGTCGTTTTCATCTTTCACGGTCTCTGCCCGGTCGGCTATTTATTAACGTTGCGTTCCTCGTAGTTAATCGAAACCCCACAGAAGTATCCACTCCTTAATAACGTATTCATTGCCGATTGTGTGTAATAATATTCAAAATTAACTATCGTGTAAGTTCTGCTGCTGTTGTCGCTGTCGACCCGTTGAGTAATCTCGCCCTCGGCGACAACCAGTTCGTTTGTTATATCAATAGAAATAAATTGTTTATTCAAATTTTTGCGTCCATTCGGTAGCGTAAAACAGTATTTCAATCCAACCTCTAGTCTATTTGTTCAGATGAATTGGCCAACGCCGACCTCATAAATATTCATCCGACAAGTATTTTTTTTTTTTTTTTACCTGCACGTGGAAGTCTAATACCTTTATGAATGATTGGGATGGGGGTCCCGCATTCAAAACGTCAACTGGCTTAGAGTTTTAACCGATTTTTATGCGCTGTGGTAGTTTAGTATTGTAATGTTCGAATAAAACTGACTTTGCCCTCGTTTTATGATTTTCGACACGGTTTTCGCTTGCTTTGCTTTCGCCCCCGCGTGCTTAGCCCGTACACGGGGCAGAAATTTTCTTCGGACCGCAAACAGACCATAGTAGGGGTTTTTGATTAATATTGTTTTGGCCGTTCCGTCAAGCTGCGGTCATGTGCCTGCAATAGTCGCGTACGTTTCACAATAGAGCCGTACAAGGAAAGTACAAGTTATTATGTTGAATATATTGTAATACCGCTCAGAAGAGATTGGATAACGAAAATTACAAATCTATGTTAAACGAATTTCTCCTCGCCGTTATTTCTCTCATTTTTTCAGTATTCCAGACATTCGTAATGCACTCTGAGATACCGTCCTTTTTGGGATTTCTCGTTTAGCAGTGTCCAAGCCCAACGGCCTATGGCCCAACGCACTTGAATAGCTTAAGTATATGTTCAGGCAAACGCACATCAGTTTCTTGTGTTCTTCAGAGGCGTTCGCTTTTTTTAAGGTACGACCTATTGATAGTGGCTAAATGATAATTTCTCTTTATAAACATTGGTAAACTGCAAACGAAAATATTCTCGAATAAAACAAGAGGTTGGATTGTCCGAGCACTCTCTTGTTGAAAACGTTTATGGTTCCTGCTTAATGTTTTATTAACGTATCAGCCAAAAGTATTGTTTCGCCGTTTGGCAAACAAATATTGAGCTGTTGTATATGCAAATACACGATTTCGCAACTGTGGGAAGAAATTCTCAATTAGCGTTACACGCAAAACGCACTGTGGAATATCAATTCAAATTGTTACTGTCTGCCTACAAAACCAATCATACGAGTACCGTGACAATAAAAATACGGAAAGGAGTAACACATTATTTATGCGACACTGCTATCCGGTGTAATAACTTCGTCTGGATTACAATGCATTTGTTTGACCGAGCCAATACTGTTTCGAATAGCGATTATATCATTTAAAGTCTAGAAAAAACTTGTTAAGTTGGCGTTTAACCTCTGAGAACCAGACAAGTACGGTTTACTTTCTTCTCGATAAGTCTATTCGTTGACTGTGAGTTTGTTAACGTTTCCAATAGTCCAAGTCGAAAAGCACTAGAAAAATAACAATATTTACGACTCTGTGTAGGAGAACAGATTTGAAAGTAAAATATGTTTTTTTAAATACATGTCGCGCTGGCGACCTTTTTGATCCGACCAACCGTTTTTTCATTATTGTAACTAGAATACTTTTTATTACACAAACTGTTGTAATAAAACACTTAATAAAAGCATACGGTATTTTAACGATCGGACGTGTATTGCGATATAAGTTTTACTCGAACACTACATAATACCAATAAGTGGCTCCCGACCAAATGGACACGTTTTTTAGAGTAATCGCCTGCTAGTCTCGTGTTTACCGGACTATTTATTTGGTTTTTGGTTTTAAAAGACCTCCCGAGGCAAACACAGAAGGGTACCGCGTAACAGTTCAGCGGCCGCGTGCCTGCGATCAAATTAATTTATTCAGACCAGCGAAACGCCATAACGCTATTATCCCTGTTGAAACAATAAATAATCGAATTATTTTAATCACTTTCGCTGTTCCCTGCAAGATCAGTCATGCACGAAGTATCCGTTTACACGATCCGCTGATCGCGTTGCATCATAACATTGCAATATTGTTGAAATTATCGAACAGATGTGCGAATGTTTTCTGATCCGAAATTGTTTTATCGCGTTGGCTGGCCTCAATGCGAGTCTACCGTCTGGGAAGTCTAGACCGGTTTGCTGGCCACGACTCGTGCCGTGAGCATATGCAGATTGAAAATGTCAACGTTTACATCGTCTGACATCGGCGAAACCCACCAAGGGACGTGTGAGTTATTGGGTCGGTCGATATCGTCGACAAATCGCTATTTTGCGACAGCAACTGTGCCACAGGATTAATAAAAAAAAAAAGCCGACCGATAATGCACAAGATCACCTTGAGAAAAATTTATTCATTAGCCAGACGAGGGACCCCCAGACGGATCTGTTGTACGAAAACAATAATGTGTTGTGACTAACATATTATAGTTTCGGACGTATTTACTTGCGCGTACGCTTTCTCTCGGTGAGTTATGACAGCCGAGCGCCGTATTAGGCGCACACCGAATTTAGACGGTACAGGGCTGCCAAAAATGGATTACGGAAACAATTGGCATATATCATTTGGGAGGCCCGTGGGACTAGGAGAAAATAAAATTGACGTTTGTCGGTCGCGTGCAGGCAATAATGTGACTGGCAACATTTACATTAGAAATGAACATTTTTCATTACTCGCCTTGAAATGTACTTTTTTTTTTTTACTGTAACGTGTCAGTGGTATACTTAAAAAGAAATTGCCTGTGCAGTGTATATGAATAAAAATCAATTATTAACATAAATTGTACTCCATTCTAAAAAGGTGCAGTGAATTCGCGGTCTAAATTATAATAAAAACGTTTTTAAAATTGTTCGCAATTTTTCGAGTTATTATTTACTTTGAAATCGATTGTTACATTAATTGTAATGTTGGTTTAAAATCATAGATAATGTCTATGATTATCTCATAAACGAGTTATCCTTAAAAACTATTATCTCTCGGGTGACTTAAAAACTCTATTATTTACTAACAAACCTAATTACCAAAACCTAGTCATATGACATTGGAAAATCGTGTACATTTTTAATTCAATTTCGAATGACATTTACTGTTAAAATATAATTTTCGGCATAGATTGTTATTTATATGATTAGGAAAAGTTCATAGTAAGGCACGGTTGAGTTATCAAGGGCAACTGCTCGTTGTTAATTCATTTAAGTTACTCTATCGATCAGGTCTGAGGAGATTTTACAATTCCCACGCCTATGTCTCTCTAACAACAGTAATTGCGTTGTGACATAAAGTTTTTGTCGGGATAACGAGTATTGTTAATGTAACGCTTGAAACCTTGAACGCGCGGAAGACCAACAGCGGTAAAGTTTTTATAAAAATAGATTTTTTAAGAGATAAAAAAACGACAACAGAAATTCCATTAACTTTTACGACGTCTGGGACTGAGTCGCGCAACATAAAAGTGGCGACGTAACGAACAACAATGAAACGCGTTCGCAATGGGAACGATCGAAGTGGTCGTTTGAAATATGTTTACTGACTTTGCGGTGAGACGAGCGCATTTACAGGGAAATCCGTCGGGCGGACATTATTAATTCTCTACTTCTCGGACGCATTAGGCGTCTAGCAGTAAGTAGACCACAGCGGCCTTGTCGTTACAAAGCACCACGCCCGCGCACACACTTCCCAGAAACTTTCCAACGGCAGTCACACGTCGTCATGACAACGGTCATCCGGACACATCATGTCGCGTCATGTATCCGACGTATTTTATTATTGCTTTCTAGACGAACGGATTATTGGTGAAATGACATACAACGTTTTTCGTTATTATCATACACTGCTACCGTGTCGTTAGTTACCGACGTTCACGGTGGAGCGATCCTCGAGTTTCACGTTTGGTCGGATCCTCGATCTTGTGGAAAACCGCAATTTTTTTAAAAATTTATTAGGATGCCGTCGCGTTATAGACGGCCATCATAGTACCGACCGAATGTACTACCGCGTTTTATTGTGCGCGCGCACATGAAAACCCTGAGCAGAGGACGTTTGCCCTAATTACCGAGAAATTCTCGTGGCCGTCCCGCAATGTGCTCCATATATCATAGTATATGTACGCACGCATCCATACATCTTTTTCCACCTGCGCCTGGTGCTTCTTTATCCGTCGGTCTCTGACCTTTGTGCGAGTTGTCGCGGTGCGGAGGTGTCCGTACGGCACCACGCACGACGCTCAGCGGTGTGCAACACCCCTGTCACGATAAATCTTAACGCGTTCCTGGGTTGCATAGTATGCGACCGTTTCGTCGACCATATAAATTTTGCTGCGTCCATGATTCGCCTAGCACGGGATTTCGCCCGTAACGGCCCATGCCTTTACCGCGTCTCATCACGATAAAAGCAATCTCCTGTCGTCCCGACAATTTAACGTGCAAATGACCGACGTCGGTAGACTTGTTCTTAAAATCAACGACACGGTTTATTTGATTAAAACTGCTGTTGTAATCTGTTGCTGTGACGGCGACGCAATTTTTTATATGTATACAATAAAAATAATTGTAATTGCACTATAATCGAATGGCGTTCGTGAACTATTTGATAATTGGGCAGTCAACTATTTCCTGTAAAGATCGGCAGAGTGTATATTACTGTAGACAAGGGGGGCATCGTCGACTGATTGTCGTGGGTAATGATGTGTAGACAAAAAAAAAAATAATGTTTCCATCGGTCCGACGACCAGAACGACTCAAGGACGTCATTACAGGAGTCACTAGCTTGCAGTATTCGTGTTGCACTCTAAAATCTTTATCGCGGTAGCTTTCAAGTGCGCTGCATATCCGATCAAGTGAATCCGAGTTCGTCGTTCTTTGACATAATCGAAACCGCATGCCAAACATCCTTTTTATACATTTTGTGCAAACATTATGAATGCGGTTTTATCTTTTATTACTTTAGGTCACAATGATTAGTGTCCGTGTAAGTGTTCAAGGCGAAAAACGTTACCGTCTAAGGTTTCAACCCTTAACAGCTGAACAATTCAGGCACGTAAACAAATATACCGGATCCGGTGTCCGATAAGAGAGATAAAATCAAAAAAGGGTGTGCAAATGACAGGTAAACTTCTAAATTTTAGAACATTTCAGTTCCCTAGTCTAGAGGTTGACATAACGAATCAATAAAGTCATAATCAAAACTATAGTGATTAATGAATGATGTGCTTGAAAAAACGCAACGGAATAAACCGCAGAGCGGTCTACCGAATCTGTGTGCACATTTTCCTTGGGCACAGTACATTGGTACGTACACGTGTGTGTACGATGAAATTCCTTTGTTTTTTCTCGTTCTTGTACTAATAATAAACCCATTTGTTTGGACTGTGTGCGTTTCCTGCGGTACGCGAATATTGTTCTCTGATTATTATTATTATTTTTTTTAGTCATCTACAACCGCAAAGTGTATTTTTTATCGTAAGACAATGCACGCCGGCTCGTTAAAGTGATGACATTACGACTCGAGTGTAGCTCAGTCGAACGCCATAAACGTATGCGAAAGACTGAAGATTACCTGCCGAAACAATTAATATAATTTTCGCGATTCGTTTGGCGAATTGGAAAACGACAAGGTTAGCGGACACCTAATTAAAAATCTTTCGATTCGGTTGAATTGTACGCGTCCCATTGCTCGATGTGTAACTCGTTAATGAGTCGGCGCGAATAACGTTAATGACTATCGGAGACCAACGGCCAACGGACCTCAATTGACGAAACAATCGGGCAATTGTCTGTTGTTCGATTGTGGGCAATAGAAAGTGAAAATTAACATAGCGCGACGTACGGTGACGCAGAGAAAGATCTCGTGGGCGATACGCACAAGGCGTGTTTCGTATTTGGCAAGGAACTCTGCAATATTCCATTACCCTTCGTACCTCCCCCGCGCCCGTTGGTCCAGTTTTGTGTACGTGCGATCGCGTTCGGAGATCACGAACTCGTATTTCGGCCAAATGGCACATAGGAATTGGAAAGTACCGACTTGTTGTATTGGTTTCTGGTGGACACGCGATGACTGTTTATCATATGCAAAACACATTTTTTTTTTAACAGTTATCCGGTGCAACGTGCGATTACTATGCGCGGCCTGCGACCGGACGAAACCGCGTGACGACCGATAGCTGACGTACGGCGAACGGTGTTGAATTTTTAATCACAGCAAACCGATCGTTTCTAAAATATTGAATAACTTGTATTTTTTTAAATGACTCATTGTTTTTGTTTTCGTTTCAGTGAAAATGAAATGCCTCCTGCCCGCAGTGCTATGGCTATGGCGACTCGTCAGTTTGGTAAGTCAAACTTTATCATTACAATTTATGTTATTTTTTTACACATTAACCTTCACAAAGAACGTATTGCTGCAATATCTTAATTATTCTTTTCCTCCGGAGGGGCGACCTCATGTCAAATTGACTGGGTGTGTTTTTTTTTGCTTAATGAAACGTTTCGGGTCGTAACGAGACGACGACATTGAAAACCGGAAAAATATGACTGCTCGTCACAAGTATACGACAGTGTTCGCATGAAGTACGTTGAATACAACGAGATACTTTGTTGATGGCGACGACACAGCCTTGCAGAGGAGATCGACGACTTGTCTAGGCTGGCCGGCCGATATTGCTCGGGAGCCTAAGATCTCCAGGAGAAAGTATTGCATCGATCGTTATTACTAAAATTCGATTAAAACCGGTTTGTGTGTATGTATTTATAGGGATCGTAACACGTGTTTAGGTACGGCTAATGACGACGTTCGAGTTGTAGGGGAAACACGTTGCATGCATACTCATCGGTTTTTTCGGTCGCAAAATCGTCACCGTTTTCATTAACTAACTCACTCTGCCGGCGTGTGTTACATAAAACGGTCGTGTAATTGGAAAGGAAAGCGAATTCTCGTAAAGGATTTCCAACGTTAGAAAAATCTCATCAAAGGAAATTCATCGATAACGACTTATTATTTACCACCAAGGCCGATGTTAATCACCTGTGTTTTCACGTACACCACGTTAACGCCCAACAATGTGTGTTTTATTAAATTTGTTCTTGAGATACATACTGCACTGGAAGGTCGTATACGTTTTGCACTGCATCGTCGCCTCTATACATAATATCCTTCAACGGGAACAGGGCAAGCGTCGGCCAAGCAACAATAACATTGTACTGCTATTATGCAAATTTCGATGGCATAATTAAGTACTCGCGCACAAAACATAATTCAATTTTTTGTTTCCATTATGTTCATTTAATGTCGAATCCGAGTCGTGTACGGATTATTTACTTAGCTTGTTACGTTATCGTTAAATTTAAGTATATACAAAACAACATTACATCTCAAAATATTTGAATTGTAATGGTTTTTCTGTGTTTAATTTTCGAACAAAGAGAGATCTATTAATTGACCAATTAAAACATTGGAGTCATTTTAAAGTAACACAGGACTTGGGTTATTTTTTTGTAGTGAAAACGCGATAGTCGCCGGCCTTCTAAGGCATCGACAAAAAACTGTGCATAAATTATAAATTGCAATACTTGTGCACCTTTTCTTGTTTTTCGCTTGTTTTATGTTCTCTTTATGTAACCAGCAGTATATAAAAACACTCCAAAACACGGTTTACGGTAACGTAAAAATTACAATCGTCTACACATTTTATATTATAGTGGACATTAAATAATTATAGTGAATCGGTTTCATAATTCTCGTACGCATTATATTGCAATTAGCCAGTTGTTGTTTTTTCACTTAATGCATGTCCTTCGCCGAGTGATTCTAAGTAGACTTTGAATAAATTTAGACCGAGTACTATTGAAACTGTTTACCTAATTCATTTAAAAATTCAAAAAATTTTATTACCGCCGTCTGATATCATGTGAGAATATCAGAAATCCTTCGGGAAATGTATGTAAATGAACTTGTATTTGGTTAAACACGAATGAAATATTATAAAAACAGTAGTAACGTTATAAAACACGATAAGAACGTAAAAAAAATGTTAAGTATGATGCAATCGGATGCTTTCAAGGCACATACTCGTTTTTTAAAACAATTATAATAAATAATAATGTGCACCGTTGTGGAACTGATCTTTCTTGCATATACAAACTTTATCTTGGGGTAGTGTATCGTTGGACAGGCGAAAGCAAAACTGGTTTCCTTCCTTTATATTTTCAATCTCGGATTATCGTTTTTTTTTATGTAACTACTTCTTTTTTAGATAGTTATTAAGCGCACGCGCTTAGTTTGAATACTTTGAATGTTTTTCAATGTCTTTAGGTAGGTTTTATTTACTCGAATTCGACTTCGTCAAAACATTACATTCCTCATTTCATTAACACTTAACTGTTTTCACCTTGACGGTGGAGTTTTTTTTTTTATTAAGCCATTAACTAAAAGATGCCATCACGGTACATAATTTATGATGAGTTCGACTAGAATATGTGAAAAAGAAACAAATCGTAGTACCTCGTGGTCACTGATTGTTATGTAAAGTTGTATATTTTATACACGAAAGAAAACGCAAGTCGTTCACCCTCAAACTGCCGAGATTGTTTTGTTTTTTAAATAAGCTTGTAATGATTAACGGTCACGGCGAGTATGTAAAAAAATTGACCGTTTGGGACGCAGCGCGGACGGCAAGTAAAAAACACAAGTGTCTATAACGGAAATAACATTGTATTATATAATTTTTGTTTTTAATGTCGCGTGTAAAAAACTGTGGAATTTCGTGTGCACCGTACATTATTCGAGAATTGTCTGTAACCGCCTTGAATAAATGCGTTTCACGCAGTTAATGCGAAACAATGCACTGAGACTCGAGTGGCGTTAGCCCTCGCAAGTTCAAGGATACGTTCAAAGCAAACGCACAGATGTGATAATGCAGCGTGTGATGTTCATGCTGGCCAAGTTCATGTCCCCTGTCGTCGTGACGACCCGATAGGCGCTTACTGGTGGACGTGACGGCGGTTCTTTGGACGCGTTGCACGCCGCGGCCGGGTTATCACTGAAACCGTGACGGCCGAGAAAAATACTGCATTCGACAATGGCCAATGCACTCGAACACCGGACGGCGCACCGTTAGGTCTCTTCCAAATACTTCGTATCGGCCGACTAATTAGCGCAGTCGGCCCGATATGAATTCGGCAGCATTACGCTGTCGGGGGAATCGCAACATATGCGGTCCGGTGCGTTTAATGGAACTCTATGCGAACCGTTATGTGCGCGAAGCTCGTGGATACTTACACACAACAGTGGCCGCCGAGTCCAGTAACGCGAGACGTGCGACTCGAGCCAGCGAACGGTGTAATCAAAGCTCCGAAGAGTGCGCTCGAAAATCACTTGCGTGCGCCGAACGAATATTTACTCGTGTTGTCGTGCTAAGACAATGACTTGGACGTTGTTGCGTTTGTCCCGGCAACAATTATTTGGTTTACCTCGAAGCAGACGCCAAAGTGTTGCGTTAAATGTAAACAGCCGATTTTTGTAGACGACTTTCAATGTCACAAATTATCGTAAATTACACGTTACAACTTCGCCGTTAGATCACTCCGAGTGTTTTCAACGATTAGCAGCGGCTCGGTTAATATTCGGCGTGCTTAATGGAATTCGTGAGGCTGCCGCGAAAAGTATTTATTGTATAATAATAAGCGATTTTTTTGTTTTATTTTTTGGTATGGCTAACAAATAAACGGGCAAAACGCCTATAATTAAGGTAATAATAATCGGCTGTTGTGTCTGCGCTGACTGTTTACCACACGCGAGCAACGTAATAACACTCGAGTGCGCATTGTTCACGCAGTTAATGGCACCGATGCGATGATGTCTCTGTACAATGACTATGCTCGGGGGTGCTGTTTTTGGAACGAGACAATAGCCACAAACGCATCTCGGTGTGTAGCCGGTACAAAAATAATTATCATTCTAATGCCGTTGGAAACTCTCAGCATAAATACAACAACATTAAACTCTGTGTGTATTTATAGTCGCGCGACGAGCACGTTATACGTGACCGAAAACAAATGACCCCCCGAAATTTGGACGGCAACGACAATGTGTATCGCGTGTGGTTCGCTGGTTGCACGGCCGGTCAGAGTTACTCCTCCGCCTTGTTGACGGACGAACGTCCGCAGCTTGATCGTGTAATAATAACGTCGAACCCATTCTGCTGTGTTACAACATCTACACTGTGTATGAACTGTTGTGCTAACAAGGGCCGATTTAGTCACGCGGTAATGAAAAATTCGGCGACGTTGCCCGTCCATTATGTGCGAGACGACGGCGACTATTGTGTTTGTCCGCTCGTTTGCACGACGTTCGAGTGTTGTGCGCGCCAATACATTTTCTTCAGCTGTGTGACGGACGTCAAGCAAATTATACTGACGACAAGTTCGGGGGCGGTGTCAGGGATTTTCGGCCGATGAAAGTCGCAGGGGTTTTTTCAGTGGCTGTCCACGAGACTCGACAGTACTTTATCCGGTTTAGTCGGGTTGTTGTCAACAGTAATGCGCGCAACGAATGTAAAACGGGGCAAACAATCGACGGTCTGTTGATCTCTACGTATGACTAAAAAAGTACATAATAGTAATAATAATTATATAACCTCACCCGGGGCCGTTACAATGTGAGCCATTAGAGATAGATCCTACGCACTTTACACGGCCGGTCGGAGTAGCCGCTGCCAGTAACCCTTCCACGATTCCCACACGCGTCGTTATTCGGGTAGTACATGAAGATTAACTCGTTGCTCGGTGTGTCCATCATCAAACATTATACAAACGTTTTTTTTTTTCCTTCTTTTTCACCGAGTATAACATAATTATTTTAATATGTACTCCGTATATTCACTTAAACTCCCGCGTAAGGCCTTGGAAGTCTACTTCACTCTCTACTTGTTCCAGGTAACTTACGACCTATGACCTTCTTAGACGGTCATTACGGCCATTCCGTTTGTCGACAACAGCTAATATTATTTTTTAATTACACAACGCGGCCGACGCACTTGCACTCCGCTGCATTAATAACGTCGTCGTGCTTACATGGTAAGAATATCATTACCGTTTCCCGGGGTAGGTAATAAGGTGTTGTTTAACCACGTGTGTGTGTGTGTGTGATACNGTCGTGCTTACATGGTAAGAATATCATTACCGTTTCCCGGGGTAGGTAATAAGGTGTTGTTTAACCACGTGTGTGTGTGTGTGATATACGAAGGTGGTGATGTACGTGTACACCGAGTGGATCATGACCAGTTTTGAAGAGTCTCTGACAGCGCATGCCACCCCAGCGCACTTATCGCGTGGT